AAAAAAAAAAAAAAAAAGGAAAAAAAAAGCTGTTAATAATATCTCAAAAAAATAAATGGAAGTGACCAAGGACAGGTCATTTACTGTCCTTTTGTTCACAAAACTATTCTGGCTCCACTACACTTATGCCTCTTTATGGCATGGAGACATACGCTCCCCCCCGTTCCCCCACCACATCATCAAAGAGAGCACAAAACTGAATAGCATGAAACAACCTTGTAAGAGAAACGCGTAATATGTTCCTACAAAGTGGGATACATACTGCACCTTGTCATTTGTTTCTGCCTTCCGAGCTATCTGTACACCATTCTTTATTTTTCCCCGGGTAGATAAGAGGGAGCAAGGCGACAAAGAAATACAAAGGAAAAATACATATAATGAACATCTGTGTATGCCTAGAGTTCATGATTACTAGTGCACTTGGACAGACCAACAGAAAGATAGATGAACAGCCATGAAATAGCTCGCACCACCATTCAAATTTTAAGCATGTTTGTGATAATATCAGATGTCTTGATATTTTGTCAAGCTAGCTGACATGCAGACTTATCTAAGAGCCTGGCTCTGCGGAGTACTTGAAGAGCTCTGTACTTCACAGAGCCCAACCCTGCCTGGATAGCTAACTCACGTAGATCACTATACTAGTTAACCGTTTTAAATCCTTCACATTTCTAGTCTGGCACAATTAGTAGCTGTCATAACAGTATACCACAATTATATTTCACCTCCATTAAAATGATTGTATTAATTCTCATTATTCAGGGAAAGTTTCCAAGTTTAACCATTTTAGCATCGATAGATACATCTGATTTCATTACCATGTGTCCTTCAGTTGCGAGTTAATCTCTTTGATGATCTCTAACAGTGCCTGTTATGAGGCAAGGAGAAGATTAGGAAAATCCGGCAGGGTGCAGATAGCGCCAAAGGCAAAAAGAGACATTAAGATGATGCTTTCTCTTGCCAAATTCAGGCCCTGATTCAGCAAAGCGTTTTAAGAAGGTGCTTAACTTTCAGCACAGCAACGGTCTCCTTGGAGTCAAGGTTAGAGGTAAGGACATTCTTCAGCACCTTGCTAAAATAGACATGAAAAGGGTGGGTCAGGCATGGATATCTAGTTGAGAAAGAAGCTCTTAATGAGCCATTAGATCACAACTAGCACTGGCAACTTTTTTTCTTTCCTGTGAAGCTTAAGGATTTATGTGCAGAATTTTTTTTCCCTGTTAGTAATTAATTCGGACCCCAACAGCGTGAAGATGGAAAGAAAAGGACCCTATTAAGACTTGATATTAAGTTAATAGCAGGTGACAGTGACTTCATCAAAACCCCTGTGAAAACATCAAGGAGATGGAAATTTCAGTTCTGGTACATTACTCAGCTGAGTATCATCAGACCTGCTTACCAGGGTCACAAAGATTATTTGTACATTAAAAAAAGAGACTGTCCATCAAAGTCAGTAAAAAAAGGGAAGTTGTTTCCACTGTATGCTCATATAGTCATGCCAATTTGAGGGAGGTTTCCATGATCTCACTAAGAAAGCCAACAGTCCTTTTAAGGTTCACATCCCTTAAAGGATGCTTCTGTCCTACAGACTCCAGACTACCCATGAGCTACTGTACTAGGCTCTGAATCCTACCAGGCTTTTCTGTCTAGCCGGTACTCAGAATAGAGGAACAGCGGCACAGCTGGTGAAATGAGTGCCCAGTGTACTCAGACAAAATGTAAAGGACTTAAGCAAAATTAACCCAAATTGACAGGAAATATGTCTTCTTCTCATATTCCAACTAGGGCAGCTAAAGGTGAAAGATCTGACCATGGAGTAAAGTATGGTGGCTGGATTTATATATATATATATATATATATATATATATATTATAGATTATTAATCAGGGATCCTGAACCTATATTTTTGAGACCCTCTGGCATTGCATGCAGGCATAGGAAATGTTTTCTAGAGATTCATTTTCCTTAGGTTTAGAGAGCAGCATAACATTTCCCTCACCATGTTGCCTGCTGGGTTTGAAAGCTGGGAATTGTGGATCCATCCTTGTATTTAAAAATCTCAAAAAACATAACAAACCTAGTTTTAATTTCACAGATCTCATGTGTTTATACAGCAATATTATGTCCTTTTTAGAGATGGAAAAATGGAGGCAGGGAGAGATTAAGAGACTGGCATTCTTCTTATTTGTATTGCTTTTATACTTCTGACTTCACTGGAGTTTCTCTTGTCCTAGACCAAGGTAAGTGAGAGAAAAGTCAGGCTCAACAGCTAAATCCACGTGTAGGGTGTATGTACACATTGCCCTACAGTGATGTGGTTACTGCATAATGGTTCAGTATGTATTTTTGGAGTAATAAAGAACGGTGCAATAACCACCCATACTATGCCGTGCGCACTGTGCACGCTTAATTTTTACCACTACTTTGCCATAGCGGCACGCTAACAGGGTGGAGCACACCGCTACAGCAAAGTAGCTGACGTGTAGACCCACGTCACCCTATGTAGTGACATGCTACAGTGATGTAGCATGTCACTACAGAGACGTAGGTTGACATGTAGACGTGCCCATAGGGACTTAGGAACCAAGCTAACACATTAGATGCCCAAGCCAAACATTTAGGGGCACGGTGTGCCCCAAACCCTGTCTCAGTTGCCTCTCACCCTGTCGGTGCCCAAGGCCCTTAGATTCCCAGGCTACTGTCACTTCCCTGGCACTACAGAGCTGTTCAGACCTGAACCTCAATAGGACTCTCAGCACAGGTATTTCTCTACCTGTCTCACCTGCAAGGCCTGAGGTTATAGCCATTCTCAGAGTGCACATATTGGACTCCTCACTACCTCCTGTTCAACTTTGCATGAAGTACTTCAATATTCAGGGACGGGAATCCCAGGCACGTGCCCTGACCAGCAGGCGACATGCGCTTTCTCTTGGCCGGATGGACATTTAAATGTTTTCTATGAAGTACAACACTTTCAATAAGCAAGATCAAGAGCCCTCCCCTCCCAGAGTACTCTATAGACCGGGGGTTGGGGTACTTTCCTGAGAGGCTGAAGACTTGATTTAAAGGCCAAACCAGACAGAAGAAGAGGCCCTTGAACTGGGATCCTTTGCATTCCAGGTGAGTACTTGAGCAATGTCTCCAATGAGGTGAGTGGCAGGAAAGGGAGATGGGGAGAAGATGTAATTACAACTGTTCCCTCACTTTTTTGCAAGAAAAGACTGATCTGCCCTCAGTACTTGACTTCAGGAGAGGGTTATGGATCCACCATAGATAGAAAGGTCTCCCTGTGACCTGGAGTTAGGTGCCTGTCTACCTAGGAGAGGTGGTGTCTAGGCTGCCCCTCTCCTAGCATTTCCCACAGGCTACCTTTGGCAGAGCCCTGCTCAGTAGGATGGCTTCTCTGAATCTCATTCCTAGACACTGACCTCTTCCTGTGTGTTGTCCGAGGCCCTCGTGTATCCATCTCACACTAGTGTCCTCCACTAAAGAGCCAGGCAGCTGATGCTGAGTACGGGGGCACCTACATCCCTTTATGGATTTAGTCTTGAGTGACTTGCCATGTGTTAGCTCACAGACATGTTAACACAAAGCAGTAGTCCTGAACCCCTTAGTTCCACATTCAGACCACATTCATTCATATAACCAGCTTGATTTAGATCCTAAATGGGTCGGGGAAGGGATTTTCTGTTTTATCCTCACACGGTGGCATCCTGGTTCTCTGCCTTGGGTTCCTAGGCATGACCACAAAACGTGTACTACATAAAAATACCCAATCTCCTTCTTCTGGATGTTAATTGATTGCGACGGGTCAGAAAGAAAGTGTCCAGCACCGGCTATTATAAGTGAAATGTGTAGGATTTAAACCTCTCTCTGAAGCTTTAGGTGTCAGCAACCGTTGGGAGACATCAGGCTTGATGGACCTCTGGTCAGATCTGATAAGGTTATTTTAAGTCTCACATATTTTGACTACTGTATTGCCCAAATTGCAAAGGGAACGTGGCAAATGTTGTAGGAACAGCTTAAATAAGGCATATCTTTATCTCTATCTTGCTTCTGCCCTTCTGTGTCATACAGAAGCCAATAGGACAGCTCTGATTAATACAGTAATTATGTGGTTATTAAAAACAGTAATCATCCAGGAATTATCCAGTGCTGTAAAAATCCCATAGACGGAAAATATATGGACATTTTTAAATTGAGCATTACAATTGTCTGCATATGCAAGAAGCAAAATGACACATAAAGAATTTTTAAGATCCCGAGGAAGCACTCCTAACATGTTAAGAGCAAATAGTCTCTTCAATCAGCATAGAAGTTAGCACTGAACAAAGAGCCAGATCCTGATTTGCTCCCCTGGAGGATGCTAGCAGCTAAACAATAGCTATTAATGAAGAGCGCCAATTTATAGTGCACGAGCTAAGACGACTTACACAAAAGAGGGGCCATCAGCGTAGTTTATTCCTCCTTGCATCGCTTCTTCATTTCCAATTTCTGAGCCCATTTTAATTTGTTATCAAAGTAATCTCTCGCTCCAGCTGGAGTCAGCAGTGTGTTTTGTTGTCTGTAGGGCTGGCAAAGTGTTCCCTTTGAATAGCATTCTGTAAAGATCACCTGTTCTGCATCTGTGATGGTTTTCCAGGTGCCAGGAGGTAGTGTTTTCAGATGAGAAACAGTGAAAGGAATATGCAGACGGTGCTGTTCTGCAGCTTTTCAGATCTGCGTGGGCTTCATTGGTGACAAGCAACAGACAAAGGGAAGGGGAAAACAACCCGAGGAAGTTAAGAAATGTAACAAAGCCGCAGAATAATCTAGTTGCTCCTGTACAGTATGGTAGCATTAACTCAGCCTTTTCTCGGGTACCCTGAGGTGTGAAGAGAAACAACATAGTTCCTGTTGGTCCACACTATAAACACCAACATGCATCATAAAATTAATATACTTACACGTATCTACAGATATTAATGTGCGTACAAGGCATGAGCAAAAGAACCTGTTTATGTTGAACGCAGGTTTAATACACGTCCATGTACTGTGCGGTGGAAGGAAGTCTCCCTATCATTTCAGCCTACACTAACGGTGTAGCTTCCTGAGTGACCTGGAAGTTGAAAAGATGATCAAGAATTGTAGAGAATAAGTCAAAAAAAGGTCAGGCATGGATGTACAAGAGACAGGAGTAACATCTATCTGTGTGTGTGTCCATGCTTTAGCCTATGATTGGATGGTTCAAAGACTAATGTATGTCTAAAGATGCATGGTCTCATGTCATCTCTGGATTGTGCATACCTTCCCACTTGTCCTCTCTGTCAGTTGGATTGACCAGCAAGCTGGTACTGAATAAAGGCCAGTTAATTCATATTTGGTGTCTAACCCCATGCCAACTTGAAGTAGTGGGACTTGGAGAAATGTCCTTGGAAGTTGCAACAATGGACTTCGAGACTCTAAGGAGAAGAGCATTCAGATAGTTGAATTTCGAACCCTAATGGAGCTAAGGGGTGGATGGATGGGTGCATATGTGTATGTGAGGGACAGAAATAGAGAGAGAAAGAAAGCCAGCACCCAAACAGCAGGCTTTGATCATCCATATCTAACATGCTGGGCCTGGCCAGAAATGGACTGAAATTCCCCAGATGGCTTGAGAACCCACAACATCAGCATGTAGGACTAAGCTCTCAAGCACAGGGTTTCTCTACCCCATCTCTTGTCCCAAACTTGGGACCTGTCCCAAAGGATTCACTCTCTACAGTACTTGAATTTGAGGTATAAACAAGAATATATGTAAACCAGGGACTCAATGCTAGTTGGCCAGAGTGGAAAAAACTAACAATCCCAGGAAGTCTTGGAAGGACTGCTAATAGTATGGGGAAGCTGGCCATCTATGAAATAAAGGTAGTCACAGAAGGGGATGATTGTAGACATATGGCTTTTGAATATGAGCCTCAATGGGACAATCACTATGTGTGATGCCAAGTTGGGAGCAGTCTAAATTCACTGGCAAATGCCCTGTCATCTTTCCCAGTTTCTGTACTCTAGAGAGAGACTTTATTGAACACTGGCTCCCAGGTAGTACTAGTCAGAAGGAAAAACTTCTCTAACATTGGCAGAGACAGGCCATATTGCACCCTCTCCCAGACTGCCTGTCATCGAAGCATGGGCTTCACACCCTGGGGGTTTCCATATCTTTGTTTTTTTTTATTCTACCTCTTACTTTGCCACTCAATTCCAGTGTCAACCTCCATCCTAAAATTAGTACTGTTTGCCCTTGCTCCTTTTTCTAGAAGGCTGGAAGTCACTTTGGCAAAATCAGAATGGTTTCTTAGGCACCTCCATAGGACTTGGGCAGAACTTGCCTAGGTTCCCAAAAATGATCCAGGCTGACCTTGCTGCAGCAGCTACACCAGGCACCAGGTATAAACTTCCCTCTACCCCTGTGTGGTGCAGTGGCCCAAACGTGTAGGCAAAGCTTAAACGAAAGCACTGACACAACTTTAAACTCAATCAGGCCTTTAAACTACATTTCTAACAAGTGGTGCTTACTGACATCTGCAAGTGAGGTTAATGGGACCTGTGCTCTGAATGTTCACGGTCATGCATAATGCTAGCAAAAAGGCTGGTCTTTGGCACCCCAGCTTGGGCACTCAAAATCAGAGGACACTTTTGACATTCGTCTCTTGTGTTTTAGCTCCGTAGCTACACCACAGAGGTATATCAACCCCTTCACTTCCTAACATGCTGCAAAGATAGATTAATGAATGTTTACAAAGACTGAGGCATTCTAGTGAGGAATAACAGCAAAGCCCATGAGGAAATTAAGATTTCTCTATTCAGAGCAGGGTGTGAATACTGTGCAGTAAATAAGGCCTAGGGCCACACATTAAACAAGGAGGATTAAAAAAAATATACTACTCATTAAGTGAGAACCATCCATTCTGTGTACTGAATGAGGCAGGGCATGTGATCATGTAATTAAAGATCGTATCGTAATGTGTATGCGCAAGAGGACTAAATCAAAATTGCACAGGCAGTGTTAATTCTGGTGTTTCCTAGCTTTTTTAAGGGCTTGCCTTTGCAATCGTACAGTTCTCTTAGCATAAGTTTGTGTGCAATTTCCTACTAAAAAAGTGAGAAAATTGAAATCCCACCGTGTCGCATCAGATGGACACCCTTGTGGCTCATCATTAGGTCCAGTACTTTCAGATCGGTTGCATAGACCGCTACCATTTAAGCTAAGGGAGTAGCTGATGGCAGTCATTCTTGAAACACAGGACTAGAAGGAGATACCCTCAGTTACCAATTTCATTGCCCAGCTTTCACAGATGCAAAAAGGCATATCATTCCTTTGAGAAATGATCTGGGTCCATCTTAAAGCTAGTTAGGTTACTTACCCTTTCTATTCCTAATGGAGGCTGGTCTAGAACTGCACTCTTCTGATAGATTAAAAAGTTTCTTTTCATTTCTCTGCTCTCATTTCTTCGGCCTAGCTGTATTGTTTTGGCTGAATGCACCCAACCCCTCCTTTCCCACTCCCCAAAAAATCCAAACTGAAGTAGAAACTTGTCACAAAAAAAAGAAGAAACCCCCCCCCGCAAAAGGCTGGATAGTTCCTTTTTGACAGCCCTCAAAGCTACTGAAATCAGAGTCTTATAATGGCAACCTTGACTGTAGGTAGCAATATCAGTTTTGCTTATAATGATGATAAATATTCATAGGCCTTTTAGTGCAGATAAAGTTCCCTGGCTTATTGGAGTTTGGGATCTAAAGCTATAATCCTGTAATTTGCCCCAGAAATGTGGGAACATAAACTCTTGCAGAACATATCAAAAGCAGGAGCTAAGTAGGCTGCTTCTTTGGAGGCCATTGCATTTATATTAAATATGTTATATATAATTTTTTTAAATGACGCAGAATGGTTCATAGGTCTCCTCTGAAACATACCTTGCTTTACCAGTAACCCCAACTTCAACCTTCCCATTACATGCTTCTTCAGCAACTAGGTCCTTGTTCCTCTATAAAACCTCCTACATATAGTTTTGCTAACTCCCAGGATTTTATCATGGGGTTTGCTTTACGTTATGTTCTTCTTAAAAGCCTCCTTTTCTGGAATCAGTTATGTGAGAATCTCACATTTCATTAAAACAAGAAGTAAATGTCTAGCCTTCAGGGTAGCTGAGAAAAGGTTTCAAACACGATCCAAGTGTGCTTGAAAACTTCTGAACCCCAATGTACGCCCCTTTCCTCGCCTAAGTCCAGTGATTATGGGGGACTTCTAATGATTTACAAACTTCTCAGGTCATCAGTGCAGTTCAGAAAACCTTGTTCTTGACCAGGTCTACAATACTTCTCACCTCCAGATTCCTGATACTTATAGCTCCCTTGACATTTACAATTAACGAGCCAATTATTGAATAAGAATCAGACCAAGGTGCAACTGGGATAGCCTATCTAGTTAATTAAAAATATATATAGCCATTAATTATCACAGATGTGGCCAATCACCAGTCTACTCTCATTATTTAAAGGATTCACTCCTCCTTCCTACCTTATACCTGTTTCTTCTTCTTAGTTTTTGATTTACGACTTCCTTCCCTTCTTCAGGGCAAAGGCCTTAAAGTTTGTACAGCTCCCAGCACACAATGAGCACTACCAAAAACAAGGAGGACAGCCGATTGGGTAACTAGATGACACCTCAGAGTCAGCACAGTCATTCCTATGTAATAAATAATTTACAATAAGGCTCCTTGAAGAACTGGAGGTGATAAGTGGATATGATGGTACAGAAACTATAATAATGCATTTATAATGGTGTATATAATGGGCAAGGTCTGCCTGACATTTATCTTTGCAAGTGGAAGGAGAAAGATAACTCTTGAATGGAAGAGCCATGAATGAGTTATCAGGTCTGTCCTCACAAGAAAAGATAAAGGTCATTACAGAGAACAGCTATCAGGTGGTACAAACAAAGAACATTGTTTTTCTGTGTTGAGGTCTGTTGTATCAACTTGCCGGCATCTCCTTAAGGGATTATCATTTCTTTTTTTCTTTTTTTCAACATGGTGGTAAAGAAGAGTGCTACATATACCCCTGAGTGATTTCAAAATCCTATGTTTCACATTTTTCTTTGTGTTTCTTTCTAAGAAGCCTCTTCATCTGCTCTCCAGCTGTATTAGATCAAGAATTCAGCTACCAGTTCTATATCAACAATTCACTACCTCTCATATCTGTTCCCTTCTGTCCAAGCAAAAGCCTAGGCCTGCCTTACTGACATCTCCTTATGCAGTCCCAGCTCCTGTCATCATCTTAAACTTGGCATAGCCAAAGCTTTTTATCATCCCCTGCTCTATTTGCCTTCTCCGCCCACCCCCACTACAGCCAACATCACTGCCTGCATGTCGCTCAGGTTTATATTAAGGCCACATGTAAATCTTACAGCTATTTTTCTGAGTAAATTCTCTATGATTTTAAGCCCGGTATTTTTTTTTCTGTCTCCACATGAGAAATACTTGTCTAGGCCATCATCACTTCGTACTTCAGTTAGCACAATGTCTTCTTTGGCTGCTTGAGCTAATGCGGTAACTGATACCGGGAACTAATGCAAAGTTCAAAGCGGGTCTTGGCAACTCCCAGCTTACTTCACTTACATACATACAAGACACTTCTGAACAAGAGCATTTTCCTGACTAATCACTTTGACCCTGTCACTCCTCTTTTGCTTTCCTTTCACTAACTCCATTTTTCCTGTTGGATCAGAAACAAGCTACTCCTCTTGCCTTCCAAGATCTATGCTTGACTGTAACAGGGAGCTAGAAGGCTCCTGTTACTTTTAAGAGTAGAGTATAGCAGGTTAACTTGAATCAGGGAGGGTTGGCAGCAAGGAAACAGGCTAGCTGGTAATGAAATGGCTTCCAGCAAACGAGGCACAGGTGGAGGTAAGCTATGGGAAGGTAACTCACCCTGGGGAAGGAGGCAGAGCAGAGAAATGCATTAAGGGCAGTTAGGGAATCTGCCCAGAAACAATGGACTGCAGATAAATGAGTTTAGTTCTAGCAGGGAAGACAAGCAGGTTTCAGGCACAGAGGGGAAACTCCTGTAAGGGCCCACAGAGTTACATGGCCAGATGGCAAAGGGCTTAGGAGACTCATGTGGTCACTCTATCCCTGCTAGGTGCAGGGTGAAAACTTGTTGCCCTGAAAAGCTGCATTAGGAGGGCCTACTGATCCCTGGAAGGCTTCATCATGCTAGGAAGATGCTGCATGCTTGCTGCAAGGGGGATAGGACTCAAGTCAGGGGGAAGCTTGTTAGACTGCTTGGAGTTTGTTAAAGCCTGAGTGCATATGTGTTTTGGTTGAGTTATAACTTATGGTTTGGGTTTGAGATTATAGAGATGGGTTGGAGGTCTCATTAGCACCTAAGAGGCCCATGGCTGCCCTGTGGCCTGATAGGGGTCAGGTTCAAGCTGCTGGTTGGGCCAGAGAGTGGACACAGGGGCTAGGGAGCCCAGCATTGCTCTAGAGGGGTGAGAACTAGGACCAGAGGGGGTGAGATACAGCACAAAGCTGGACTGATATTAGGGCCAGGGACCCATAGCCCAAGAGGGGCAGAGATGCCTGTGAAAAGTGAAGCAAGGGTCAGGGACCTGCAACCCAAGAGAGATAGTGATAGGACTAGAGAGGGGTAGAGATAAGGGCTAGAGACCCACAGTCTAGGAGGGGCAAAGCTAAGAGCCCAAGAGGGTGAGATAAGGGCTGAAGCCCAAGAAGCCAGGCTTGGTGCAATGGGTCTAGGCTAACAGGGCCAGTCAGAGCAAAGGGGTGGAGGCTGGGAAGGAGGAGACCCGAACAAAAGGTGGAGGCCTGAAGTG